TTTTTATTTTGACCCCAAATTGATTTTGAACCATTGAATGGAAGTTAGGTATAACTGTGCTAACATCAGATTTTTGTTTAAGAAGAAAGAGCCATGTAACCCGAGTGCAATCATCAATTAAGGAGACAAACTAACGAGCCCCAAAAACATTAGGTATAGTAGAAGTACCCCATATGTCACTATGAATCAGATGAAAAGGATGAGAACTTCTTTTATTGCTAATAGGAAAAGATACACGGGTATGTTTTGTCAATTCACAAATGTCAAACTCATGAATATTTAATCATTGGAATAAATGAGGAAACATTATATTTAAAACCCTAAAAGATGGATGACCAAGGCGTAAGTGATACAGCCAAAAAACATTTGTTTGAGGAACTAAGAAAAGATGAGGACAAATTGCTCATGATTTTATGGGATAGTTTAAAGTGGTAAAGACCGCTCCTTTCCTTAGCAAATCCAATCCTCCTCCTCGAGTCCTGTTACCTGAAAAACACAATAAGAAGAGAAAAAAACAGCATAATATTTGAGATCATGAGTCAATTTTTGGATGGACACAATGCTTGTTGACAGTTTGGGTACATGAAGAACGTTTTTAAGGATAAGGCTAGGTGTGATTTGTATATCACCAATCCCTGCAACGGTAGCTAAAGAGCCATTAGCCATGATAATTTTTCTATTACTTGGACAGACGGTATAGGAATGGAAGAGTTGAGATGTGGGGGTCATATGGTCAGTAGCACCGGAGTCAATGATCCAAAAGTTGGTATATAATTTGTCTAAGACATTCATGCAAACAGTTTTACCTGAAAGAGCTATCGAAAATGCTCCAGAAGACTTCTCAAGAGATCCCAATAAGTTTCTCAATTTCTCAATTTCTTCACTGCTGAATCCCCCTATTGTTTATTTTTCCTCCATATTGGGTTGCTCTGTCATATGCGCTCGAGGCCTTTGTTTCTCCCCACGGTTGCCCCATTCTCGGCTTGAAGGTTTACCATTTAACTTCCAATACTTCTCCCTTGTATGTCTTGATTTCTTGCAATAAGTACACCAAAGATTGTCTTTGTTCTCCTTCCCTTGGTTATCGTTTTTTGACTTCTCCTGATTTGTGTTTGTTGCCAAGGCTGACCCATCCATACCATGTGGTTCTAGCATGACACTCCTCCGACTTTCTTCTGCTCGGATTAATGAGAGATTGTCTCTTCTAGAGACGA